TTGAAATAAAATAAGACTGCTTGTTATACAAAGGCAAAGCACTGAACGTTCCGACTGCTTGAAAAAAGGTCATTAAAAATAGTCACCCAAGCTAGAGAGCCTACACTATCTTATGTTGTCATCATCGCTCAGTTTTCATCTTTATTTCGATGAAGTTTAAAGTTAAACAATAGAATAATTGGATCGAAGACAGTAGGAAATCAGACTCCTCCTTTTTGAATGAAAGTAATTGAATAAAATTGAAACCCATGGCGCGAAAACCGTGGAACTCAGTGCGAGGCACCTCTGAGGTTGCTGTACCATTTGTCGACTCAGTTAGATGCCGTTTCCTCTCTTTGTATCATACAAAAAGTTGATACTTCAAATAAGATGATGCCGAAATTATCAGACCGTAGATTTTTATATACTGTTTTGACAATTATTTTGGCAATTATAACATTTATGCTGACTTTCACTCAAAAAATTGGAATTATAGAACGGTTGTCACAGTCACAGGGGTTTTGTTGGGCTAACAATTGCAAGAATTTGGCCGCAGTTGGGAGTAGTTCATTTTATCTTAGCAATCAATCAAACACTTTGGAAATAGTGCCGGCAAAACCAGAACCTCTGCTGGAATCTTGTGACGACTTCCAGGCGTATGTGGACATCCATGGGTACAGTTTTTCCGTCTGTCATGGTCGCCTTGGCAATCAAATTGGAGTTATGGCTCTAGGTACGCCAATAAAATCACTCATAAATAGCTGTAAATTACTGACTTTGTCCACAATTACTGACTTTTTCCACTGTTAACTTAGTCAACAATTGACTGCGAAAATCAAAACAAAGGTATTCAGACCCGCACTGACAAAAAGGGTTTTAAATTTATATCAATTTAAGTGTCTGCAGATATATAGAAACAAAAATAATTGGTTCAGAATGAATCCAAATCCATTTTATTTCATCTAAATAAGTCTTTGGTACTAAAATTGTTCTAATTCAATTTTGCCGGTGTGTGAAAGTCTTCAAATACAAGCCCTGAATGTTCTGACTGCCTTTAAAGGTTTTAAGGAGCAGTAATAACATTAACATAAAAATATTAAATGTAATAAAATAAAATGAATTATTTTTTTATTTGAAATTTTTTATATAAATTATCCCCCCACACGCCATATAAAGTACAAACAAATAGATTTAGCTCCTTGTAACAAATCAAGTATGGCAAATAAGCTTCTTTCAACCAATTTGGAACGATTTTAAGACGGATTAACTCTCCGCATACGCGCTAATAGCGCGAAATATATCGCGCGTTAATTGCCCCAAATTGGCCAAAATGGCAATCTTTAAACCCTCATAACTTTACGAAAAATGATCACAGGTGAATTATCTTTTCAAATTTGAGCTCAGGACAACAATACCTTTCGAATGATATAAAAAAATCTGTCAAAAATAGCTAGTTTAAAAAGTCGAAATTTGTCTAAGAAAAAAAAACCCAACCCGAGCACAAATATTCCGTTATTTTCGTATCAAAGGCCGGAACAGTAAGGGCAAAACAAAATCATAGCGTTATTGTTCCGACTTTGATACGAAACTAACGGAATATTTGTTCTCGGGGTGGGTTTTTTTTCTTCAGACAAATTTCGACTATTTAAACTAGCTATTTTTGACAGATTTTTTTTTATATCATTCGAAAGTTATTGTTGTCTTGAGCTCAAATTTGAAACGATAATTCACCTGCGATCATTTTTCATAAATTTATGAGGGTTTAAAGATTGCCATTTTGGGACAATTAACGCGCGATATATTTCGCGCTATTAACGCGTAAGCGGAGAGTTAATCCGTCTTAGAAATTGTTCCAAATTGGTTGAAGGAAGCCTATTTGCCATAATTGATTTGTTACTAGGAGCAAAATTCATCCTTTTGTGCTTTAAATGGCGTGTGGGGGGATGATTTTTATAAAAAATTTCAAATTTTAGAAAAAAAATTCATTTTATTTTATTACTTTTAATTTTTTAGGTTTGATGTATGGAATTGTAAGATAAGCATTTTCAGTTTATGGAGTTCAACTCGGGTTATTACTGCTCCATAAACCTTAAAAGGCAGTCGGAACATTCAGGGCTTCGCTTGGCCCTGATACGAGCAGTCTTGTTGTCACTTTTTAAATAAAGTTTGCAAGAAGGCAACGAATAATTCTTGCAAAAACGAAGTCACAAAGAAACAGGATTCGTTTAGAGTTAATTTCACCATCATATTTTCAGGTTTGGCTGTTTACCTTCAATTCGGCATCAAACTAGTCCTACTGCCTAGACAAATGAGTCATCTCTCTAAGGTTTTCGACGCCAAACAATTGTGCAGAAATGATGGATCAACGTTTTGCTTGGTGCTGCCGAAAGGTGAGTCTTCTCGTTTCTGTCCCTTTTTTTGTTAACTTGTGATTGCTCTCTGAATCACTGAAAGGTTTTGACTGCTTGTTAGCTGGTTAGGATCAGTATAATAATCAGCCTTCGCTCCATCAGGGCGGTACTACAGCACTGTTCGTTACTGAGGGAAAATCAAGATCGCAGATAGGTGTACCGCGGGAAACAACCTCAATTGTGCCTCCAAGTACCGAATCCTGTGGTTTTAACAGGAGGAACAGTATTGAATAAATCGGGGAAAGGGCTTATGGTTAAAAGAAGAAATATATCGTTAGTCCCCTTAATTCGTAACAGGCGACAATTCGTAACAGTATATTAAGCAGGGAAGGAACACTGATTCACATTCCTCTCGCGCCGGATGTAAGCGCAGTGGAGCAACATTACGATTAAAAAGCAGAAAAAGATGGCGAGTGATTGTTCAAGTTTCGTCAAGCAATCTCATTGACCAGCAATGAGTATGCAAACTGGCATACAGCTATCCAAAAATGGAGGAAATAAAGAAACAATCTGTTTATGTTGAGCAAAAACTCCGGAAGGGAGTGGAAAAAAACAAGCAACGCTCCGTAAAAACCGCAAAAAGTTGCCCCGAAAAGGTATGTGAAAGCGATCAAGTTTAGGATCACCATGCCTTCGAGACAAGTGCCGAATACTTTGCGATTGCAGAAAAACTTCTTCTTTTTTTATTTGAAATTAATTTCCTCCATTTCTCAAATTCCTCTTCTGATTTGAATTACGCTTCCTCATTTTACTTCAGTTGATTGTCTTACATAGGCTTTATGCGCATCAGCATTTTCTGCTTGTGAGCCGGCATCATCAACATCAGCTGGATCCTCTTTATAACTTATCCTCGACAGTCAAGCATGTTTTCGTTGCCTCACAAACATAGAAAAACTCAATTTCGAAGAACCCTTTTTGATAAAGTTGCCATTTGTAACTACAATCTTCTCTCAATAGAATGAGTAAGTACATTGTGTTGCACAAAGCGAGGCAATTGGGTGTTCACTAAATGTGGAGTATCTCTAAAGGAAGCATCATTACGTTTTGTTCCTAGCGTCGCGCCATGATTAGGTTTTACAATTTTGTCAGAATGTCTATTACAAAACATGTACTGCGATCCCCCAAAACTTCTAATTCAACATTGGTACGTCTGACAGTTATGAGGGACGTTTTTTGGGTAAAATCTTTGTCAAAAATAAGCAGTGGAGATTTTTAAAATAGATCGAAAGAACTGTGAGTTAACTCTGCAGTTAGGGTAGTATGTTAGTATTGAGTTTTACCAGAAAAAAATCAAATCAACTTCTTTTTGTGAGGTTAGTTTTCCGAATCGATGTTTTAACCATTGCTCTGCCTATAAGGTAATCAAAACCGCAGCATCAATTTTGGTTTTTTTTTGCTGCTGGTTTAAATACTCTGTTAACCGAGAACTATATACTGATGACTGGATCCAGTAAAAACCTCCATTGATGTATGGACTAGAAGGAGTCTATGAAAGCTAACTTTTCTTTTGGGCGCTCACAACTTGGTTCAACTTGAAAATTTGAGAAAAATTAAACTGATTAGTCACTGAAAAAAATGTCGGAATGTGAACAATTCTTCTTCTGTAATAGCAACTTGCTGTTTTCGCTGAACGATCTGTAATCTACGAGAGTTTTTTTGCTATAAATTGTGAAACTCTAACTTCAGTCACTGGTGTTATCTAAATGCAAAGAAATGTATTTGGAGAGAGGTTGGTCCCAACTTAAGCTGGTCTCTCGTTGCTCATTCTTCAAACATTCGATAACATTCGATTGGCTTCCTATAAAGCAAAATAGTTTTTTGAGCTGAAATGTGGCCTGCAATAATTGAAATATACTGTATTGTACTTGCTATGAACATCCTCTATTTTGGAAAGTCTTCTTCCTCCAATCCACGCTACCCGGGTTGACAAAAAATGCTTATCATACAATTTTCATATATGAAAAAAATCTCCGCGTTAATAGCGCGAAATATATCGCGCGTTAATTGTCCCAAAATGGCCAAAATGGCAATGTTTGAACCCCCATAACTTTACAAAAAATGATCACAGGTAAAATATTTTTTCCAATTTGAGCTCAGGACAACAATACCTTTCGAATGATAAAAATTTTTTGTCAAAAATGGCTAATTAAAAAGTCGAAGTTTGTCTGAAGAAAAAAACCCACCCCGAGCACAAATATTCCGTTACTTTCGTATCGAAAGTCGGAACAAGACTGCTCGTATCAGGGCGAAGCCCTGAATGTTCCGACTGCCTTTGAAGGTTTAGAGCAGTATTAACATTTAAAAAAATCAATGAAATAAAACAAAATGAAAAAAAAAAATTTTCTAAAATTTGAAATTTTTAATGAAAATCATCCCCCACACGCCATATAAAGTACAAGAGGATAGGTTTCGCTCTTTGTAACAAACCAATTATGGCGAATAAACTTCTTTTAACACATTTGGAACGATTTCTAAGACCGATTAACTCTTCGCTTACGCGTTAATAGCGCAAAATATATCGCGCGTTAATCGCAAAGTTGCAATCTTTAAGCCCCCGTAACTTTACGAAAAATGATCACAGGTAAAATATCTTTTCAAATTTGAGCTCAGGACAACAATACCTTTCGAATGATATAAAAAAATCTGTCAAAAATGGCTAGTTAAAAAGTCGAAATTTGTCTGAAGAAAAAAAAACCCACCCCGAGCACAAATATTCCGTTACTTTCGTATCGAAAGTCGGAACAACAATAAGCCAAATCACTTCGTTCTGCGGATAAAAATGACTAGGAATACTTTGCTAAGATTTCCCAACAGGTCCCTCCAAATTTAAAAGGTTTCACCACTTTTTGTTCTTTCTTGTAATTGTTCCGACTTTCGATACGAAAGTAACGGAATATTTGTGCTCGGGGTGGGTTTTTTTTCTTTAGACAATTTTCGACTTTTTAACTAGCCATTTTTGACGGAAATTTTTAATATCATTCGAAAGGTATTGTTGTCCTGAGCTCAAATTTGAAAAGATATTTCACCTGTGATCATTTTTCGTAAAGTTACGGGGGTTTAAAGATTGCCATTTTGGCCAATTTGGGACAATTAACGCGCGATATATTTCGCGTTATTAGCGCGTAAGCGGAGAGTTAATCCATCTTAGAAATCGTTCCAAATTGGTTAAAAGAAGCCTATTTGCCATAATTGGTTTGTTACAAGGAGCGAAATCTATCCTTTTGTACTTTATATGGCGTGTGGGGGGATGATTTTTATTTAAAAAATTTCAAATTTTAGAAATTTTTTTTTTTCATTTTGTTTTATTTCATTGAATTTTTTAATGTTATTACTGCTCCATAAACCTTAAAAGGCAGTCAGAACATTCAGGGCTTCGCCCTGATACGAGCAGTCTTGTTTATATTTGCTTCAATTTCTTCTAGCTTCATTTATACACCAAACTTTTACCAGCAAACACCAGTTTCTCTCATTCAGATATAGCATTATAAGTTAACAGAAAAGTTGGAAAGCTTAAGTTAAATTTCGCTCCAGATGAAACATTATAGTGGAAATTCCATTTCCAGCTACCTTTTTATACCAACACTAGTACCACGCGCTAATTCATTTTTCAACTCTTAAGGCTAACTGAGTATATTTTTTTTCTTCGTTTTCTCTTTTCAACCAAAAGCCCTCTCCAAGCATGTTTCAATACTATTTCCCGTGTTAAAAAACTAGGGGTCGGTACTTGGAGCCTTACTTGATCTTTTTCCCCGTGGTACTTAGAAGGTTTTGTTTTTTTCACGTTACCTCACAGTGATGTAGTACCCCCTCTTTGATGGAGCAATTGCAGGTTGCTATAAAGCTGTCAGTACAGCCCCAGTCGAAGTGCTCACTAATAATCGACTTTCAAAGTAGAGCACATTTCTGTGCTCGACCAGACAATAACAGTCGAGACAGGGGTTTGGGTCGAACAAAAACTCAAAACATACCCCGAGCACAGTAGAAACGTTGCAAACTTTGATCGAGTGCAGTCAAAACAAACCTGGAGCACGGTCGAAAAAAATCTCAAGAATGGTCAAAAACACCGGTTATCCGCGGTAAACTTTTTTCGAATATAAGTTTATAATGTTATTGACTCAAATTGAAAACCAGAGTATTCATAAGATAAACCAAAAATTGAGCATCTCTGCAGAGCATTAAAGTTGCAAAAAACCCAATAATTTCATTCTGATAAAAAAGCATTCTGAGATATTACCCGAAAAGCATAATTAAAAACAATCAAGTTTGGATAACTTATCATAATTGAATTTCGAACATGCCCGAATTCGGTCGAGATGGTCTACAACATATCTCGCCCGGGTCGAGCACATTCATTTTTTTGGGCGAGACCGTTGAAATATACAGTGAGCAGCTCGACCCGAGAAGTCAATTTGCGAGTAAGTGAAGTGCGGTATGATCAGTGACTCATTATTGCAATGATTAGTCTCCTTTAATGTCGCAGATGATTGTGCTCTCAGTGCAAGTCGGGTGGTGACAGCCAGCAACGCGCAAGTGTGGCAGAAGGGGGTCCTAGCTTACGGACAGTCGCCCGAGGATCTCAAAGGCGCACGAGTACAACTTCCTCATTATCCACAGTATTTGCAGCAACTTGTCCACGGTTAGTATAGAGTCAAAAAAAAGACTGCTTGTACATCAGGGCACAGCGCTGAATGTTCCGACTGCACTTTAAGATCAATTTAGAAAATCTGATACACGAAATCATCTTTCTATCAGCTGTTCTTTTTCTTAATTTGACCCTCCACACGCTGATGTGGAAGAGCGCCGATGAATCATAATTGATTATATTGTCATTTTAGTCAGTATCTTTAGAATTGGGGTGGGTGGGGTTCGTAAACTGCTTTGGGGGCGTGGAGGGGGAGGGGGTGGAAGAGTGCGGGGGGGGGGGGTAGAGGGGGTTGTTGGGAGTAAACACAATGATGCGTTCTGTTGAACGTATTAGAACTGTTACCTTTTTTTGCTTGTTATATTTGTAAAAGACAGCTGCATACAATTTTTTCGAAAAATTCTATGCTGCTACATATTTTACAAATATAACAAGCAAAAAAGGTAGAAGTTCAAATACGCTCAACGCTTACGCCTGATATAAGAACGCAAAAAATTATGCGATAATTGTCTCAAATCGGCCCAATTATTTTTTTCAAAACCGCTTTATAAACTTTCAAAAATTATAACCGATGAATTTTTCTCACACATAGTATATACATTTCAGCATATGTAGTCCGCTTTTTTTTCAAAAGTCGGAACAAAAGCTTTTTAAAGCTTTATCACGAAGAAAAATTAAAGTTTATAGTTTACTTATGCTAGAATTTAAGAGAGCGGAATATTTATGTTAAAATTTAAAAACTATTTGTCAGAAAAATTCACCAGTTATCATTTTTCGTAGAATTAGGATAGTTTGAAAAAATAATTTAACCAATTTGAGACAATTAATGCGCAACAGGTCAATTGGTTTTAAAATTAGCATATGAGACATACATACCCGGGATGACCGAAACTCCTTATCATACAATTCCCATATATGAGAAACTTCTTGTCATACAATTCCATACAATGCCATACGTACAGAACTTTGTATGAAATCTCTATGATAAACATTTTTCCATAAATGAAAATTGTATGATAGATGTTTTTCCATAAATCAAAAAGTTTGATTTTTTCTTTCTAAATTTATTTCTGAAACGTTGTGTTTGCAGCCGAACACAAGTGACAAAGACCTTGGTTACTCAAAGCACCAAAGGTTGGACGGTCTTTGCATTTATAATGCATAGAAAACGACCTGAGTTCGGCTGTCTTTCACAATTGATATAACAAAAGCAACAAACTTTTAGTTTTTGGCAAAATTTTTTAATGGTGATTGTTTTAAATTTTTGAATTTTCAAATTATCAGACATTGATCAAGGCATACATTAACACCTCATACAAAAGAAATAGGAATTTTCAGCGTTTTTGAAAAAAAAAACTAAGTGAAAAGAAAATAAAAGCCAATTTTATCGTATCCAGGACTACGTTATGCACACAAAATATTAATTTTTGCATGCAAAAAAAATTTTTTCGAAAAATGTTTGTTTGCGTACGAAATTCGATTTGCGGTTCAAAAAAAAAAAATTTTTGGGCCAAATTTTAAAAATTACTTGAAAAATTTTTTGTGTCGCCATCAAAAAAATTCCAGTCATACAATTTCCATATATGGGAATTGTATGATAAGCATTTTTTCAAAAAACGAAAACCTCAGTTTTTTATCACCAGACTGTTTTTATTAGAATCAAACAGCCACAGAAATAAGTTTATACCAGTTTTCAACCATTTTTAGAAATTGTATGAAAATTGTATGACAAGCATTTTTCCACACACTTGATGTATGGAATTGTATGATAAGCATTTTCGGTGTACGGAGGTCAACCCGGGTAGCTGCACAGACCGCCTATGGATTTTGATCAATTATAATGGACGCATGAGACAAACTTAATCCATTATAATCTTTTAAAGATGTATAATTCAGACCACAAAGTTGATAATGTTGTCATTATAATCAATTATTTTTGAAAAAAAAATCAATTACAATCCATCATAATTGATTATAATCTAGTTTTTTTGGCACTGAAATCACTTATTTCTGTCAAGGTTATTTCATAATTGATTTCAACACTTTTTCTTGAACTAAACCCCATTTGCACTATTTTGACATATCCATTTTTGGCTGACTAACCCTAAACCTTTTCTGAAGGCGACTTGGGCGCTAATATTTACTAAGTTTGAGGGGGGAGCCTAAAAATGCCTTTTTTGTCCTGCTATTTTTTCAAAAATTTGTCTGCGGCGCAGAAAATATGGTCAAAATAGGGCCTTTAGAGTTATTTGGGAGAGCTCAGAATTCAATTTTGTCGACAAAATTTTCATTTTTTTTTTGAAAATTCGCCCCCCCCCCCCTCGAGAAAATCCTTGATCCGCCCCTGCTTCAGACCTAATTTTCTATAATCGAAACTTCAATATAGCAAAACGATGAATTTTGTGCCGTATAAAAAAGACCCAATATCGAAAACCATTTGTTTAGTTTAAAAAAAGATGGATCTACTTAACAATTGCCTCTATGATATCTACTAAAGAATTGCCACCCCTATAAATAAAAGCAGTAAACTACCACAAGAGCGATTTGCTTATAATTTGAATTTTGCTGCATTCTGATTGGTCAAAAATTCGACTAACTTAATCTTATCTACATTGCAAGGGGGAGTTAATTCGTCTAAGATACAATTTTCACTTATAGTTTACCTAATATGCTAAATATATACTAATATGCTTAACCGTTGAATTAGTTTTCAGTAGGGGTGGCAGTTCTTTTACTAAGTTTCAGATGGAAGAGAGAGTTATTGAAGTCGTTTTTCGGGAAAAAAATTTAGTAAAGCACTCTATTAATCAGGGGCGGATTTAGGGGGAGGGGGCGGGGGGGGGGACGCTTTCCCCTCAGGGATTCGACCCCCCTGCCGACCCAAAGGGTCCCCCCTTTGGTACTTTTTAAGAAATCCATGTTTGGCCGATTGGCCCCTAAATTTTTCTAAGGGCGCCTTCGGCGGTAATATATTCTAATTTTGAGGGGGTAGCGCGCGCCGAAAAAAACGAAAAACAGAAAAAGACTAAACCATGTTTAGGGAAAGCTCAAAAATCAATTCGGTCGACCTTCAATTCGGTCGTCAAAAATCAATTCGGTCGAAAAAAAAGTCGACAAAATTTTCGAAATTTTTTTTGAAAAGTCGTCCCCTCCCTCGAGAAAATCCTAGATCCGCCCCTGCTATTAATAGACATTTAAGTTTGTAACGTTTCAGGTTACTACGCCGAGTTTCGAAGCAAAATGATTTTCAGAGAAGATATTTTAAGCGACGCTCAAAAAGTGTACGAAAGTTTGAATGAAATGAACAACTGCTCCAGAGGAACCAACTGCACCGCTGTCTATGTGCACATGCGGATGGGAGACTACAGGGGACACATGGAGGCTCTGCACAGGGGGCCCGATGTTTTCTCCAAAACCAGATACCTGCAAGATGCTTTTAACAATGTCTCCAAAACATATGAGGTAAAGTAGTAGCGTGTTTAGGGGGAGGGGGTGCTTAGGGGTTCGACCCCCTGGCCCCCGCAAATGTTCTTCCTCTGATACTAATTTAGGATATTTATAGCGGAGCCCCCTAAAACTTTCTAAGGGCCTAGGGCAAGCCAATACATACAGTAATATATGTGTGAGGGAAAGTGGGGGAGGGGGGTCCCTGCAGACACCCATGTTTTAAGATAGGGAATAGAACATCCGGTCTGCAAGCTATGTATTGGGATAGGGAATAGGTTTCCCAATGTATTAAGATAAAGAATAGAATTGGTAAGGTTTCATGATTTGTGTGATGGTAACAGAATGGTAAGAAAAACGATTTTTTTTTTTGGATTTTGTTGAAAATCTCGGCGCGCGTTCTCTAGTTGGTAAATATCAATGGTTATTTTTTGCAGATTGTGGAATGAGGGTACTATGTTTTTGGTTCATGGTAAGTCGATGATAAGATGTGCAAAAACTTAAATTTTTTGTCAAAAAAATTGAAAATTTTTCAAAAAAAAAAGGAAAATCGATAAGATTTGGTATAGTTTGACTTATTAACTATTTCATTAGATGATCTTACTTTTTAAAGAGTGAAATTATCTACCTGAAACTATGCTGAAACCTACTGAAACTTCAAAGAATTTAAGTTTTTTGAGAAATGAGGAGATACCGCGCGCTTCCTAGCTCAAGTTGGCTATTCTTAAATAATACCAGTAACACCAAAATGATTGCAAATAGAATATCTCCCTAAATATGAACTCAAGAACGAAAATGGTTTTTGTTGATTTTTTTGTTTAAAACCAACATTTTTCTTTTTTGATAGGCTCTCTTTTCAACTTTTGGAAGTGTTCATAGTAGAGCTATCCGAAAAAGTAAAAAATAATAATCATTTATCCATACTCATTTTTATTTAAAATACAGAAAGAAAGAAAGTTTGCAAATATGTCGACTACCCTTCTATATGTTATCCTTTAACGATTAAGCTATTTAAATTGAGACAGAATTTAGTAACTTTCAGTAATTGTTAGCTACAAACGAGCATAAAAACTACCCAATTATTTAAATTACTAAATTTCTTCGGAACTCACTTCGGAACAACAAGACCACTTAACGTCTCGACTGCCTTCTATTGGCTTAGGGTTCAAAAATTGATAGTTTTGGACCGTCCATAATCAAATTGTAAATTCTAAATTTTACTAAGAAATTACCTAGAATTTTCAAAAAATTTAATAAGAAAACAAGATTGCTCGTATCAGGGCGGAGCCCTGAATATTTCGAATGTTTCATAGAGTCTTTGGCGCGGTAATAGCCTGAAAAAAAATAAATGAAATCAATAAAAACAAAAAAATGTATTTTTTTTCAATTTGAGATTTTTGAACCCAGACGCCATATAAAGTACAAAGTGATAGAATTCGCTTCTAGTAACAAATCAATTATGGCAAATGAGCCTCCTTCAACCAATTTTGAACAATTTTGAACGGTTAAATCTCCGCTTAGACGTTAATAGCGCGAAATATATAGCCCGTTAATTGTCCCAAATGAACCAAAATGACAATCTTTAAACCCCCATAACTTTGCAAAAAATGATCACAGGTGAAATAGCTTTTTAAATTTCAGCTCCAGACAACATAAATTTTCGAATGATATAGAAAATTTAGTCAAAAATAGCTAGTTAAAAAGTCGAAATTTGTCTGACGAAAAAAAACCCACCCCGAGCACAAATATTCGAAAGTCGGAACAATAGTTTAACAAATTAGCTCGCTTGCCTTTGAGTTATATATTTACTTTTTTTTTCTTATTTCAAAGATTTCGCTTATTGTGACAAATCAATTATGGCAAATAAGCTTCTTTCAACCAATTTGGATCAATTTCTAAGATGGATTAAATCTCCGCGTTAATAGCGCGAAATATATCGCGCGTTAATTGTCCCAAATTGGCAACAATGGCAATCTTTAAACAACCCAAACCGCAGCATGCATCTTCTCCAATTCATTCAGAAGTTCTAACAACGAATAGAATGGAGATAATCTTGACCTATAGAACCAAAATTATATTGGAATCAATTGGAATATCTACGATGCCTTAATTGTTTTGTATCTTTTGTAAAAGGAAAACATAACTTAAGAACAATTTTTTATTTTGTGCAAACTTTGCGCTCAAGTCTTACTTTATATTAGTTTTATTAAGAAAAGATATGATTTGCTCTGATACACGTGAAGTGAAATAAGTTCCAAATAAGGTTCTTATAGTACCACCACTTTTTGCAACAAAACAAATTTCGAAAAATTAAAAAAACAATGAACACGAATGATATACTAGCGTGATTCAGCATCAGAAATTTTTTTTCAAATAATTATGTTTGGTTTTGGGTTGTTGCATTCCTTAAATAACGCAATTTGTCTTTTGCTGCGAGTTGATGTGTTATGATTTAAATTTTTATTGAAAAACATAGGTATGGCAGCTACGCTGTATACAGGTGCCTTTTGCTAACTTTTGAGCAAAATTTATGGCAAACTTTGTTATTGCATGGACGATTCATGTAATAGCTTAGGTTTGACTTCTAAAGCACAGAATCATTGATAAAAACCTCAAGCTTTAGAAGAATCATGACCAACAAACAAAAAAACCAAAACAGCAGTGATTGAACTTTGAAACATATGTTCTAAGATACTATAGTTACTTCTCTTCTTTTTGAATATTTGATTCACACTTGATGCATTATCCTCATTTTACCAGGAACCAAATTTCTGTATAGGGTTCAAACACAGTTTAACATAAAGAAATTCAGGCAAATAATCTATTTGAAACAAGCCAACGGTAAATTATCACCAATGTGGTAATTCCTTCGCTTCAGAGTTCATGAAATAGTTTGTGGAATTTATTGCAAAGAAAGATTTTGAAAAGATTTGATATCTCCATGAGACTAGGAAGAAATAAATAAGATTCTTTTTTCATTTTTTCAAACATTATTGTTCTTACTTTCGAAGAAAACGGAGTATTTATACTCGGTGTGGTTTTTTTGTTCAGTCAATTTTCACCGATCTAAATAATAATTTTCAACAAAATTTTTTGGACCTCATTGAAGATATCGACTTCTTAAGTTCAAATGTAAAAAGATATTTCACCTCCAATAAATTTATTTAGTTCTGGGGTTATAAAATTGCCAAATTTGTCATGGTCTGGACTAAATTATGCGCGCTTTGAAGAGTTCATTCATAATGCTGAGAGTGTAACGCGAATTATTATGCGCGGCAAAATATCCCAAAAACTATTCGATATAAATTTAGGAACAATCAGAACATTCAGGGCTTTGCTCTGATATACGAGCAGTCTTGTTGATGCTCTAAGCTTGTTGTTTCAGAAGAGCGTGTTCTACGTTATTGGCTACTACAACAGAGACGTGGAAGAGTTTTTCCGGAGTCACGAAAAGGACTTCAAACAATATCAAGTTGTGCTGGTTGCCGCTCAGGAGAAGAGGATTCTTCCAAAGAGGAAATCAGTGCAGGGTACTGTTTTTTTAAAACTTTTTTCATCGACCCCCTCTCCTCTCCACGCCCAATATTTGATTTCAGTTTTGAAAAACGGTTTCAAAGTTGTCCTGATGTAGCGAAAGTATGCATGATGAAGAAATAGTGACTGTTCTTTGATTACGATTATAGTTCATTCCTAGAGCAAAACTTTTGTGTTTAGCCGTAAAAACACAAGCTGGACAAGTTGAACTTTGGGAGAGGTGTGGTGGAATACAGAGATGTTTTAACAACCTAATTAGTCACATTATCCTTGAGCAAGTCAACGGAAATCTCGCTCATCGCTAAAAAACTCAAAAAAAGAATCAAGTCAAGTCAGCGCAAAGTTAATGAAGCGGAACATAATGTGACCTGTGTCTGTATTCGGTTTAGGGGAGGGGGTGAAGGGTAGGTTGGGATTTGGTATACGAAGCGGTGCATTATATTGGAGCTATTGCATTTGCTTCTTTGGAGAGTATAATTATAATGGGTCCATACTTCCGATTGTCTAAACTGATAGAGGTCAGCTTAGCGTGTGTTTCAGGAGTGGATTTAGCCCTCATGGCCATGTGCGATGTGTTGATTATGTCATACGGCAGCTATGGAGATTTTGGAGCCCTTTTGGGCAGAAGCAAAAAGCAAGTTTTGTACCCTAAGTTGCACAAAACTCATGACGAAAGTGGAGTGAATCTTGGTGGAATGCCACGTTTTGTACCGATACCTTGGAAGGAGTCTGCCTAATGCGAGAGGAAGAAATTCAGAAACAGTTTTGGCCGAACCAAGAAATTTTCCAGTGAGAGTATCCTCCTGCATTACAAATAATTGAAAATCGAAGTTTGAAGTGTGACGCAGAATGTGTCTCAATTAGAACTTTATATACAGCTACTTTCAACCATCGCTTGTTCTCTTTCCAACAAAAACGAAACATCGAATTCTTTGCATAAGGAAACCTATAGAAAACGAAAATGTAATCGTTTCTAGTTTACACGATGCACTTGAGTCTTTCTTGCTTTGAAATTTGATTTGATTATAAATTAGTTGGTTGCACGTATTTGGTAATTCAGTTTTGCATTTTTTCAATTTTGTATTTGCTGAGTTCTGATTTTCAATTTCTTTCCCGGTCTTCCTGATTGCATGTGAAAAGTTGAAGTCATCTAAGATGGTTGTCAATTGTCAAATTGGCATATAACACTCGGCCTCATTTTGCAGCTGCAAAATAAATTAGGAAAAAAGGGGTGGGGTAGTTCCTACTTATAAAGCTTAAAACGCTGGCTTAACGGTCGTTTAAGTGTCAGTTGAAGTTATCGGCTATGGCTGTCGGCGCAAGGCTGCTTTGGGGTGATGCTCTCATTGTCGTGAATATTCGTTTGCTGGTTGATTGCAATAATCCGGACTAACAGGTGCTAGTCTAATGGCTGGTATTGGCACAATTTTGTCTCTTATTTTGACGAAATAAACGCGGAACTGGTCATCATCGGATGGTTTGTTTCCTGTGATCCGTCCAATTGGCCAGAGTCCTCGTGGTGTCATAGCCTGAAGAATCCAGACAATTTCTCCTATTTTGATAGGCGGAGTCTTCTTTGTCCACCGTTGTCTTGGCAGTAGTGTTGGGATAAACTCCTTCATCAAGTGTTTCCAAATATGGGTTGCGAGTTGTTGGGCAAATTTCCATTGTTGACTGAGGGTTGAGGGCTGTTGGGTTTGTAGAGGTGGCATGCTGGCATGCGCTCTCCCGAGAAGAAAATGATTTGGGGTGATGCTGAAACTGTAGTGATGGGTCTTGCGTTCATGAAGTGTTCAGCTTCGCAAAGAACGGTGTTGAATAAGTTGTCTGTTAGAATCTGGCTTCATATGACGGCAAAGAACGATTCTTTGACTGATCTTCTGAGTCGTTCCCATACACCTCCGAAATGAGGAGCATAGGCAGGGTTGAATGTCCATTCAATCTGATGGTTGGCGTAGAATTGTCGTGTAACATCGGCGTCGAAGTGTCTGTTGAGTTTTTTTTCGGCTGCGGTGAAATTTGTACCAATATCAGAAACAATTTTGGCTGGTTGTCCTCTGCGTGCGAAGAATCGTCGTAAGGTATTGTCAAATTGGCATATAACAAAACCTAAACCTAAATAAATTGCATATAACGCCCTGTAATTGAAAACTTTTCATTGCAAAGAAAAAGTACCAGTTAGCAATAATGAAAGAGACATCTATCAATGGTAGCAGAAAACCTAACTCTCTTTTTAATCAACAGTTCATACCTACCATCAGGGTCAGATCTAGGATTTTCTCGAAGGGGGCGGATTTTCAAAAACTTTTGAATATTTTGCTAGGTTTTTTTTTTAGTTTGAATCATTTTCTGAGCTCTACCAAAGCACCGAAAAGACCCTGTGTGGGCCAAATGCTTAGCACCGCAAGCTAACTTTTGAAAAAAATAGGCGTTTTAGGCATTTTTTGTTTGAAAAATTTTGTCCAAAAAATTGCTTTTTTCCCCCTCCCCCTCAAAGTTTGCCTATCTTGGTACCAAAGGCACCTTAAACAAATTTTAGTGTCGGTCAGCCAAAACTGAGTGTCCTAGAATATTACCAAAAAAAGAACCCTTTGGGTCGGCAGGGGAACGAATCTACCACCCCTAACTCAGACCCTGCCTACCATTCTCCGTCCAATGATAGTCAGCTTTATGAAAATACTTTTGGTATTTTGCATCTGACCAAGTGAATTGTATATAAAATGATTAAAAACACTTAATGTCTCGGCTTTCAAACAGAAACATGATTATTTAACGAATAATTTTTATAAACCAATGCAGATATCAAATCGTTGAAATCAAAATCAAAAGTATATTTTTGCAAAAATCTGGACAAGTGAAAATTGCCATTAATATTTCTAGCCCGCCTTTGAGGTAAAATCTATGATAAAAAAAGCATACGTCCAAAAAGCATACGTAAACATGGTGGCAAAATCCGCCTCCAAAGCCATTCAAACTGAATTCAAGCAAATAAATTGCCATTTAAGCTCCCTATATGACTCAAATTAAAACACTGCTAGTTGATATTCGCTGTTATGGAGAAAGAAAAAACAAAGCTCAAGTTCTTAACGTAAAGTTTAGCATCATGAATTTCCACTAAGAAGCTATTGGATACCGGTTAAAGGGCAGTTGGAGTATTCAAGGTTTTGCTGATATGATCAGGAAAAATCTAAGGGCTCCGAATGTTGAACAAAAAAATGTACACTTGGGAGGTATTTTATTCAGAACATATTCGTTGATCGAATGCAAACGCAAACAAGCCCTGAATGTTCCGACTGCCTTTTAAGGTTTATGGAGCAGCAGTGATAACCTAAAAAAAATTAATGAAATAAAATAAAATGAAATTTTTTTTCCAAAATTTGAAATTTTTTATGAAAATCATCCCCCCACACGCCATATAAAGTAAAAAAAGATAGATTTCATTTCTTGTAACAAATCAATTATGGCAAATAAGCTTCGTTCAAACAATTTGGAACGATTTATAAGACGGACTAAATCTCCGCTTACGCGTTAATAGCGCGAATTATATCGCGCGTTAATTGTCCCAAATTGGTCAAAATGGCCAAAATGGCTATCTTTAAACCCTCATAACTTTACGAAAAATGATCACAGGTGAACTATCTTTTCAAACTTAACGTCAGGGCAACAATAGCTTTCGAATGATATAAAAAATTCCGTCAAAAATGGCTAGTTAAAAAGTCGAAATTTGTCTGAAGAAAAAAAAAACCAACCCCGAGCACAAATTTTCCGTTACTTTCGTATCGAAAGTCGGAACAAAAAGTTATTCTCTGAGAAAAATATCGTTCTTAAATAGCAGCTACTTTACTTAAATCCTTGGGGCAGTTTTCTTAATTTATTTCAAGCAGTTTAATTGTTCAAATCAATTCTTGCCTAACTCAAATTATAACACTTACTATTGATTATTTGCTGATTGGAGGTGAAAAACAAGCTAAATACGAAAATCCGAAACTTATGGTTGATCACAATTTCATTTTTTTTATATTCCGATTTTTTTGTTGAATTTACAATTATAAGTCAATTTTATAATAAGGAGAACAGTAATAGCAGCGAATCAAAAAATCACCTTGCAAAAGAAATACTTCAAATAATTCTTAAAAAAAGCCAAGTTAGTGAAATGAAAATTATAGTCATGCTCTTTCATGAATTAAGCTATATGTTAACTTAAAACTTTTGAACAAAACTGCCATCTGAAATCAGGCTAGTTTGATGTAAGAAATCAGACCAAAATTTTAAAGGTAGATGAATGTTACCGTTGTAATTTCAATCGAAAGATATCAAATTAGATTGAGTTTCAATGTACACCAAGTTTAGACAAGACTGCTCGTATCAAGGCTAAGCCCTGAATGTTCCGACTGCCTTTTAATGTTTATCTAACATAAATAACGTAATTATTATTAACACATTATAGGTAAAAAATAAAATGAAAAAAAAAAGTTTCTAGTTTTTGAAATTTTTTCTATGAACATCATCCCCCCACACGCAATAGAAAGTATAAAATATTAGATATCGCTCATTGTAGCAATTCAGTTATGGCAAATAAGCTTCTTTCAACCAATTTGGAACGATTTCTAAGACGGATTAAATCTCCGCTTACGCGTTAATAGCGCTAAATATATCGCGCGTTAATTGTCCCAAATTGGCCAAAATGGCAATCTATAAAGCCCCATAACTTTACAAAAATGATCACAGATGATTTATCTTTTCAAATTTATGCTCAGGACAACAATAATTTTTTGAATGATTAAAAAAAGTTCCGTCAAAAATGGCTAGTTAAGAAGTCGAAATTTGTCTGAAATAAAAAAAACCCGCGAGCACAAATATTCCGTTACTTTCGTATCGAAAGTCGGAACAACAAGAATGCTTGTTCATAGCTACGCCCTGATTATTCCGATTGGTCTTAAATTTTTAACAGTGAAAAATTGATATAACTAACAGCGTTAAACAGCCAATGTCAAATACCGAATGTTTAAATTTGTGTCTGATACGTTCATATAAATTAACTCATCCTATTTCATTTGGGACCAGTTTTGTTTTGTTGTGTGGTTTCAAACGCATAAATAACTCGCCATAGGCTTTCAGCAGCCTAGATAAAATTTTAGCAGCACGTATAAAGTAGTCTCAACAATGGACATTTTTGCAGCTTTCAAATCTCCACAGTTTTGATTACAACAACCTCATTTTAAATATTTCTTTTTATTTTTATTAGAGGAATTGATTTTTTGTAGGTTTAAAATATCGTTGACCAAATTTTATCAGCATCTTCGAAAAGCATCTTCGAAAATCGGAACTGTAATAAGCAAGTTTACATTAAAAGAGTTGTTTGCTTGGATGTTACCAAAATTATTTTACCACCAAACTCAACTGAAGGTTCTGAAAACTGCAAATTATAGTATCTAAACTCTTTTTTTTGAAAAAAAAACAGTTTGATAATGCTGAATCATTTGAATTTTTATTAAAACTTTTGAATTTCTGAAAATTGAGCCATTTTGAAAAAAAACTGGATCGAAATGTACATATTTATTCCGCAGGGCATCTTTTATATTAAAATAATTTTTTCGAAAAAAAAACTAAACATGTTTTGTGCGGCAGTTGTTTGTTTTGTAATTAAAAAGAGTCATTTGACTTCCCTCAAGCAAATTGAATTTTTCTGAACTTAAAATGTAATCAAAGGTCAAACAACAAAAAAATTAAATTTGGTGTGAGTAAATGTTTAGATTTTTTACTGGAAAACAAATGAAAAAAATTCAACACAACCTATATAAAATATTCCACTGCATTCTTTGACACTTCACTATTGAGGTTTACTTTGCAATTATTTTAAAGTAGTTTGAAAAATTTCAAAGCGTGTTTTTTGTGCTATTTGATTTTTTTTGCAAAATAGGGTAATTTGCCTTCTCCTTAGCTAATTGATATGAAGTAAACCTAAAAAAATTGGAAAGAAAAAAACACCA